ATTCGCGGGAGCACTTACCGTGAAAGGTGGAAAATTAACGCGGCAATTTCGTGTCTTGTGCAGAGGAAAGATGAACGAGATGGAGCAGATTCCTGAGGGAGGCTGAGACCGCGCGGATCCTCGAGATGACCGGTCGGAGGATGCGGCCGACCGCCTGGGTGCTCGGCGTCATCGCCATTGTCTCCATCATGATCACTGTCACTACGTCAGGTAAGTGCGTTTCTCGATATCTTCCGTCTTGTGCCATTACAAATTTTAGTCCGTTCGACCTTCGTATGCCTTTGTTAGCGGGACGTTCGTTGAGAATCAAACAGTCGCGAATAATTTAATTTATGAACGTTTCAAGTCGATTTTATCTGATTTTATCTTTAATTTTGTCTTCTCCTGTTATTTGCTTTTGCGCTTAATTCAATTTCATACGTCAAAAAATATTAATCGAGACTGATCTACTTTTATCGTGTATAAGAAATGAATGGACTGACCGAGAGATAGAATTATCCCAATGTACCTTAGCAAATATTTATTTGAATGTAACACTTTTTCCTTTCCGTATGTCACACACACACACACACATCGACATTGCATTAAACCTGAATTGTGTATCAAGTGATAACAGATAACTTTGTAGGCGTTCATTATAAAATGCATCACGGGGCATTGGGAATTAACTAGCGGAGATTTAATGCCTGAAATTTACGAATATCTTCCGCGGATTATGCCTCGAAATTAAAGTCAATCTCGGCGCTATAAATCCAAGCCACTCCATGCCGTCTATCTGCGTCGATCGTTATGCATTTACGAAACGTTTTACGGTCAAATAATCTTACAGTGCAATATTGTTACGAGCAAACGAACGCTCCCGTCCGTCTCGGTTTATCGGAATGCGAGGATTTTTAATTAACCTGAATGCCTAACTGCGCCGTAAGCGCCGGGTCATAACAACGGGGAACGACCGTGCCCGGCGGGATAAAGAGAGCGAGACTCTTTTGTACCGGGCTCGTTGTTTCTCTACGACCTCGTGAAGATAACCCCACTGGAATTTACTTTCTAGCCCTTCCTACCAATCACCATTTTGTAGGCGAACGCCCTTTCGCGCAGTTGCACGCACCCTACAAAATCTAAAAGTACCGGACGACGAGATTGCGCGGCATCTTAATGTTAAATATTGTCCAACGCCGCGGCTGAATCGTGATTAAATATGCTATTATTTCCGAAATTCTGCACATTGATCTAAAATGAGCCAAAAGTAACGAGTACCAACTAATCTGAATTCGTGCAATTTCGGAATCACAGCCGAGAAGATAGATAAAAGAAACGCAAAAATCAACAATCAAACTTTTCCCGTTCTCGTGAGAGAATAATAAATAAAACGTGTTGAACTCACGAGATTATCTCTATCGATTGAACGCGAAAGGTGAAATGATCGATGAAAACCTAAATCACAAATGTCAAATGCGTAAATAGTTCTACAAATGTAATCCGTCATATCAACCCTAATTTATGTATTACACAGGGTGTCCGAAAATTTTAGGTACACCCATAGTGTGCAAGATAGAACGGATTAAATTGAACAGGAAAGTCATGTACTATTTGGAAAAATTCGTAATTTCGTGATTTCTTGGCTGATTTCTGAATTTCTCAATGGCTCCATTCGACCCGACGAACCGGACTGATGTGCTTGTCCAAAAGACAGTTCTGAACATTCCAGTTGTCCTTTACGATAAAACTGGACAAAGGGACGACCGGTTCGGTGCCGTAACACATTCCCACCCGTGCGGAACAAAGAAGTACCGATGATAAATCCCGCATACGCGTAGTATCGATGATCCATCGAGCGGAACGCTCTCACACACAGATCTGGAATTCTCTCGGGGCCGCTATCTCGCGAAAACGTCGATGTCACTTCCGCCGATTCGCGATCTCCGCTCCGTGGACTCATTTTTAACGCGAACCTCCGAAGAGACCCAACGCTCGTCCGGAAGTGCATCCGTCGCGGGAATAATCCACGAAATTTCCTTCACCGCACGTCTCGCAAATTTGTCTATCACACGTGACACGCGTAAATCCCCGCTGACAAATTGCACGGAGCGCTGAGATGGGTGGGCGCGTGTGTTACTTCGGCACGCTTCGCCCGGTCGCTTCGATCCCGGGGCACGGCTAAAAACACGCTCTTGCCACGGAGAAAGGGGGAATTAGGCGGGAAATTCGCGCGCTCGCGGCGAATGAAAAATGATGAAACGTTACTTATGCACCGGTTATACCTCCACCGATCGAAGGCTATCAATCACGAGGAACAAACGCGGAGTGTATCTTCATTTTGCACCGCCCTACATCGCGCCGGCTAATCGCCGAAATTTCGCGCGATTCACTTACCGCCGAGAGAGCGGCCGACGTGCGCTTTTAAGCGCCGCCCGGGCCGCCGATATTGCGAGGCGCGCGCGATCAATCATCCGCGCGCGATCACTCGCATTCAGGCCCGCGAGATTGTAGAAAAAAGCTCTTCTCGCTCGGCACGGGGTTGAGACCGGTGGCAACAAAACCCGAGACCAGAGCGAGCGAGAGAGAGAAAGCTTTATCTGCGATGCCGCCGAGAGGGTGTGCTATTCGGGACACACTCGCGCGGAGGATCGGCCCATCGCGAATAATAATACGCGTAATCTCGCCACAGTGGAGATTAATACGCCGATAGAACTCCGGATAACACCATCGGAAGTTAATCGAGCGGAATCGGAATACGCTCCGGGACGAGTCCGACGAAACTTTGCTCTTTCGAGCTGATCTGCTCCCGGAAATATTTCATTACAAGTGTAACTTTCCTCCCCCTTCCCTCCCCCGGCGGCCCTATTCGCCCCGTAGTTGGGATACGGAGTAAATATTAGGAATACCCATGACTGATCAAGTATTTCAAAATGAAACTCATTTAATGGTAATTTACAATTTAAACCTCCGTTAGTCGCAAATGTATCCAGTAGATACGTTCAGGTAACAACAGTATCGCCGTTGCTATACGTCCTTGCCAACGTTTTTTCTTTGTTCTCCTTATCCTTTATTATTATTTATGTACTATAGTACATAAATAGTCTGGTCTATCAGCCAAGTGCTAATGAAAGGAAAATTGTTGCAAGAAGCAAAAGAAAATAATGAGAAAATTAATGTATCTGTAAGATAAATTGCGAACATTCGTGGGTGAAAAATATTGCGAGAGTTGGAGAAACTAATAATGATTTAACGCTCATGGACGAAATTTTTCTTTCCAATCGATAATATAAGATGTTCAATATTTTATCCGAACGGCGCACTAAGAAAATATTGTTTGTATTTTAATAAAAATTGTTTATATCGACGTTTGATATCTGTTCGAGATCCATACGGGTGTGAAAACGTCACAACACCAAATCAGTTATTCCCTGTCCAATTTGATTTAACCACTTGACTAGGATATGATGGATATATCTGTCGTAGAAAAGTATCTTTCTGCTGTATACATCGTATATTTCCGTCGCTTTTCATTTCTTTGACGGACATATGCGACGCGTCGCGGCGGCGCAGTCGTCGCAGAGTCAACAAAAATATTAAATATTATCTAAACATTATCTATTCCATTTGTTTTACTAAATCTTATGCACGTAATATCTTACTCTGCTCTGGATAAGCCATCAAAATGTCACGATAGAATTTCATGCGACCGTTTTTTTATTTAGTACGCTACGTTCTTTCGTTCGTTCGTTCTTTGTAGAAACTTTGTAAGAACTGTTAAGTATAAGAGCTTCGTAAATACATGATTACTTATGGGTACTACTGGTAAATCGCGAAGTAGCAATCGACATCGTTTATCGGTGCAACGGTGTAATCGACGTGTCGACGGAAAGCGATGCTCACGTCTCGGCGAAATTCCTCGCGTAAGAGTTGCTCTAAACTCCCCCGTGGGAATCGCACGCCGCGTCCGTCGTTATATAAATCATTACGGACGTCGCCGGCCAAAATTACACAGCGTCGCTCGACACGATCGATCGATCACTCGCGACGCAAGGCGCGCGCTAAATTGCTTCGGAAACGACGAACGAACGAACGAACGAACGAACGAGCGTCACATCGCGTTGCGTCCGTCATTGCTGTTGCTACTGCCATTACAGCCACTGCTGCGTCCGTGTGGCCGGCAGTATCGACTCGCGTAAACATGATCGCAAAATATCGGCACGCTGACGTGCGCGTAGCTTCCGGGTGACCGACGAGAGAACGGAGATTTTACCGATTCTCCACGAAACTGCACGTATCGTCGCCGATTTGGCCGATGTGGGTACTATCGGAGCGTTATAAAACATATAAATCCAAATCGTGCACTGGATATCGCGGGAGTGATCCGGGAAATGGCTCAACCGGCCGCTTAGGAGCCGCTGGGAACACTCGAGGGTGAGCCGAAAATGATTGATCTCAATTTGATTTAGAAGAAATTAAAAGTTGAAGTTAAAAATAGAATATTAACTTCAAAGAATATGTATAAAAAGTGTTGTGTTTAGTTGCGAATGTCACAGCTTACGCCGAGTGGTCGGTCGTTTTCTGATTGCATTACTAATTAGGTCATATTTAAATCTATATATAGTACTAGTTTCAACGAAATTTCTTAAAGATCTCATTTTATTCTACGACTACCTTAATAAACAACTTGCGGTATCTGCATCATTTTCGACAGAGAGAAAGAGAAAGAGAGAGAGAGAGAGAGACTGAAACGAGCAGCTGTCCGCAAACTCGTGCAGATTGTTAACGCAATTGACGACACGACAAGTTTAGAATATTACATACAATAACGATATTATCGCGGCGGTTGAAATTTACTCGTCGGGACGGAAGCTGCGAGTGATAGGGCGCGACCGAAACGACAGGAGTAGAGAAGTACACGACGCCTCTGACGGTTCCTCTCTTCTGGCAAGCTCCACGCAATCTTAAATTTTCCACGGTCCGCGGAGGTGATGAGAGGGAGAAAGCACGGCGGCGGGCTCGGCAGGGCGCGATGTTTCGCGACGAAGTAGAAAATTGAAGAGCGAACGCCCGAGGAGCTATATAAAGATCTACAGCTATCTCGGTAATAGTAGGATATAAGATACAAAAGGAGATAGCGTGCGGAGCGTGATAGAAGTCGCGACAGATAGCAATCTTATAATCCTCCGCGCGCGCAGATACAACGAGACGGGACGGAACCGCGCGCTATATTTATCGCGCGGCCGTTACTACCACGAGCGCAATATCCACTTGCGTAAATAGGATTGCGACCGCCAGATATCGCGCGACGTATCGCCCGAGGTATCGGCGAGTCTCGCCGCGTTACACTCGCGACGGTTGCATATCCGATACGCCGGCCGTAGTACAGCACGCGAAAGACCCGCTTCGAGGCTGGATGTTTAAAATGAGGTTAATATTCGGAAACGCTCGCACACACCCCCGATTCTTTTGAGGTTTGAGGTACACTGTAGGGAAGATGGCCCGAAGCAACTTCCAGCACGGTCTCAACGGGGAACGGCATTGGTTGCGTCGAGATGTAACAAAGTTTCTTCAATCTTGTTTTTTATTATTCGAATAATTATTCATGTTTTGAAAGACGCTGTCGAAAAATTATTTTTAATTATTTGGAAAAAAAAAATAGACATGTGGAGGGAGGAGCGAGGCCCACTAACTGTACGCAAAACTTGTCCTGGTAAAAATTTGATGTATTTTTTCAGTAGTTACCGGGCAGTTTAACTTCTAACTTCTGTGTTGCGACTGGGGAAAAGAACTTTTGGTGTCAAGATATAACGCTTTACTGTGCACAAGAGATGTAAAATCTGAACTCATTTACTGAGCAAAAACACAACAATATAAATAGACAAAAAAACTATTGAATTAATTAACTTTAATCGTGCATACACCTTAATTTGGTACATCGAGATTATTTGTGTCGCCGCTTATTTAAAGTTTGTAAAAGTGCTAATAAAAATCTACGTTGGAGAAACACGGTCAAATCGGACACATGTTTATATGACCTTTTTTTTTTTATGTACGCAGACTGCTCCAGAACTCGCATTAAAATGTATTATATAACAATAACAATGTATTAAATAACAAATTTTACTGCAAATATTTATACGGGCTCTCGGGTGAAATAACAGAGTAATGCGATCCAAAAACGGCGGGTGCGTAATTTGGAATTATTGAGCAGATCAAGTTTAGTCGAGGGCACGCGCAATGCTTGATTCCAAAGCCTTTAGCTTTAAATTGCCCTCGTTTTTACAGCTTAATCGACTCTTTTTTATTCGATGGCCTCCGATCGCGAATCGGAATCACGCGGGAGAGAGAAAGGCGAAACCTTATGTCGGAAACTTTTCCCAGACGAATAAAACCGCGGGCCGCGCGAAATGAAATTCCTGCGGAGGTAAACCGGTACTTTTGTTTCACGAAAATACGCACCGCTATCCCGCGTACAAAGGAATTACATACACCGCCGTTATTATCACGTGGCTCTCGCCGTGCGGCATGTTTCCAAGCGAGCAGGATGTCGCGCGCAGATTCTCCACCGCCGGCTTTTGTTTCGAGTCGCTGTGCCCCGAAACGATATTTTCCAATCGGACAGTTTACACGAATATTAACGTCGCCGTATTCTCGTCGCTTAAAAAAAAAAAAAAAAAAAAAAAAANCGTTGAAGTTACTAGTGCAAAATTTAACACGCATGCCACCACCAGCGCTTCCGTTCTGTTACTGACACAAAAAAAAATAGTGAAATAGTAACTGCTTCTTGGCAAAAAGAGTGACAAAAAGTGAAGTCTCAAAAATCGAAATAGTGACTAAAAGTGGCATTTTTTGTCAAATTCTGTGAGTGACTAAGGCCATTTAAGTAAAAAAATAACGCTTTTATCTTCCTGGGTTTATTTTTGGATAACATGTAAAGAGTTCTTTTCAGTACGGTTTGAAAGTAATAAAAATAAAAGACAGGGCATGAACAATACAATACGATCACATTTTCGGAGCAGTTAAATGAAATAAATATGAATTTCATTATATGAAAAAAAGAGTTTCAGTCTTTCAAAGATACATTCAGTGAGCGGCAGACAAGACGGCAAAAATATATATAGAGCACCTATATTTTACAAATTTTTCGCCAGTTCGAGAAAAAAGTGATTGTAGTGACCCATTTTGGACGACAATGTATTTCACTTGTCAAAATAAACTTGCTGAAAGAATTTGTCAAAAAAAAGTGACAAAAGATGGCTTAATTCTCTGACGGTAAGATTGAGGTCGGATACGACTTCACGGTATGTTTATTAAACAGCGTGCACGCGTTTCTTTTCTTAAGGAATAATTCATTTTATTATTTACTTCTTTTACCCGTACTTTGATTGCGTAAAAACTGGACAAAACAGAACGTAGGGTCAGATCCGGCCCCACTTTCCTAGGTACGTGGAAAATTCGCCCTGCCATTAGAGGGTCAAGTGACCAGATGGTACACCACGATTCATCTGGGGAACCCTTTCCCCATAGACCTCGTATTTTTCTCGCGTAATTGCGCAAAACGGATTAGCTTGTTTATGCGGACATGGAGAGAAAAATTACTGCTGTCACGCGCAAATATTAATTCATCGCGTCGACCTTCGCCTGTTCATCTCAGGGCTGCTCAAGGAGCGAACGACTCGAGCGTGACGCTTTACTTCATAACATTCTTAGATGTGGGATCTTGATTGGCCATTTATTGGCCCTCCACCAAGACCTCTTGAACGCCCCATAAAACTCTCGGTCGCGCTTCTCGCGTCCGCATTTAAATCCTCACCCGGCCGGAGATCATTCCGGGCGCTCGTTCCGAGCCGTAAATCCCGAGCCGCCCGCTCCGCCTTGCCAGCATGTCGATTCACCCCCGACACGAGCGACGAAGTCCCGTTCACCCTTATATTTCCCGCCCACCGCACTCATACACACACATACACAAACAGCCGTAGACTCAAGCCAGCCCGTAAACATGCCTGTTTGCTTCTTCCGCAGAAACGGGAGAGAGCGGCGTCATCGAGCGTAGCGTCAATCGTCCCGACGAGGAGGATCGGCAAGTCGACGAGAGGATCCTCGCGAAGAATCGCACCGCCGAGACCGTTTGGTTCCGCGACGCCGACGACATCGTCGACGGTAACAACGATACAGCGATCCTTGAAGAAACGATCGCCGCATTCGCGATCCGCCGAGACGACGATCGGCGCGTCGACGACGACAAACCGCAACGGGATCAAGCCGACTCACGACTCGTGGCCGGCCAATCGAGGTCGCTCGAGAACACCTCGCGCGAAGGACTTGCGGCGGAATACACGACCTCGAAGGACTCGTCCTCGCTCGTCGTCGTCGTCGTGACGGAGGCTCACTCGGAAAACACGTCCAAGAGGCACGCGGACGACGAGGCGATATCCGCCTCGAGGAGGATCGCGGACTCGGAACAGGCGGAGGAAGCATTGGCGATCCTGGAGGACGCGCGAGAGGCGAACGAGACCGCGGTGGGGAAGTCCAAGGACGATTGGCTGACAGTGTCGGTGGAGGAGGCGAAGGAAGAAGAAGAGGAGGCGAATAATGAAGAGGCGGAGGAGGACGCAACGGAAGTGAAATTCAGCGGGCAGAGGAACGTGGACGACATCCGGGCGATCTCGTTTCAAGTGCCGCCGTTGGAGGTTAAAAAGGAGGCTCACCGGGACGAGCAGAGCAAGAGTCCCGCTGGACGAATCAAAAACGAGAGGACTGAGGAGGCGAGGAAGATTCAGTCGAAGCCGGCGAACAACCTGCTGCTGACCGGCAAGTCGACGAAAGCCTTCTATGAAATCAAGCCGTCGATCAGGACGCTCGAGATGGAGCGCACCCACGAGCAAGCGACCACCCACCGCTCTTTGTCGGGCAGGAAGTTCGTCTTGCCTAGCGTGGACAGCGCCTACGGGAAGTTCGGGCCGTACTTCGAAGACGGCGATCGAGAGCTGAACATCACCGCGAGGATCGGCAGCACCGTCTTGTTGGACTGCAAGATCGGCATGTTGGGCGATAAGCAGGTAAGTCGGTCGCCGTCAGTAGTCCTTAGGGCTCGTTAGCTTTGCCCTCGCCGCGACGCGCAGTGACGGAGGTACGAGGAGATAAAAACTCGAATCTTGTTACCACTTGACGATCGGTGACATCACGCGAGCACGACGAACGGGCGAATTGTAACGAGAAGGAAAATTGGATTGTCCAGGTGCTTTCGTTTCATCGACGACAGACCGTCGCTACGAGAATGATAAACGCCGGTGATGAGAGATCGTAACTGCGCCCCGCTTCAGTATCCGCTGGCGTTACGTCGATACAGTTTTTCCTACGAGTTCTGTCACACCGGGGATAGTCCGCGGGTAAACTGACGTTTTAACGAATCTCCGTTCAAGTTTCGTAGAAATTAACAGGCAAATGTTATTTCTGGAAAATAATCAGAAAGTGGCAAATGTTTTGCGTCGCTTACGCTCACGGAATTTCCTGAAGTTCGCATTAAAATATCCAAGCTTGTATGCGGAAAACTTATGTTACAATGTTATAATATTCTCGCACGAAAATTTAATTTGTACGTTCTTTTTATTCGTGCGTGTTCTTTTCGATGTTATAATTATTTCCATTTTTTCAAGCAAATTTGTACGAAAAAGTTATGAAAATTCAATTATTAACGCCGTATAGAGCCACGCACAGATTTTTTAGTGCTATTAAGATGAGGAATCGATCAGTTCATGACTCTTAAAGATTAAAATCGATTTTTAATAAGCAAGTTCCAAACGTTTCGGTCCTTTTCCGAGCCTTCTTTCGTGGAAAGTAAGTAAATTTTTACAATACAAAAATGTCGCTTCAATATAGTAAATCTGAATGTCAACGTACACATTAGTCCAAGGTTGAAAAAATAAAAACACTAATAGTCAATGTTAATGGTCAAAATAGTGGCTATCTTGATAATTATTTAATCAAGATTCGATCTTCATTTTTAACAATCACGAGCCAACTAATCCCCATCTGAATAGCACTAAAAAATCTATCTAAGGCCCTTTATAGTCTTAATAATTTATTAATTTTCGTAGTTTCAACGAGCTTACATATACTTATTGAAAAAAAGTTATATCGAGGAAAAGACGAACATTTCTTTTCTGATTTTCCCTAATATTCCGATATTTTCCCTTATTTGTCTCGAAATAATAATAACAACTTCGTCGTACTTATAAAGTATATAAAAGGAAAGTGGAGCCGCTCTGTTTTATGCTATAATATAATTTTCCATCCGAGTTTCCGTCAGCCTGTCGCATCTCAGTGCAATCGGAGCCCATAAAACGGAGGCAATACCGATCCGCGGACGGTTCGAGGGGGCTCGTTGGGAAACTTGCCGCGCGTCGCGCCGAGCGAAATCACGCGAATCCGGTAGGGAACGGGGAAGGCACAACGAGCGGGCGATGCAGGGGAGAAAGATGCGAGAGGGTGAGGGCGAGGAGAGGCGCAGATTATAATTGCAAACATCGTTTGTTAGTGTCTGCCGCGTGTACACGCTCGTCCGTCTTGTCGGCGCGAAAGTTTTCGCATTTCAATCAGTGCCGCCTCTCGGTATTTCCTGTCCCTTCGGCCGTGATTTCCACGTCCATTTGCTCTTCTTCCCGGCCGCGCACGAAGTTCCCGGGGCCGCACCGTAGAGACACAGCCGCGCTTCCGAGATTCCCGCGGGATTCATATTCCACGGAATACGTAATGCGAAACCGATTGCGGTGGGACGGGCGTGCCAAGGAACGAAAATGAGTATTTCTGATTCGACGAGTGTGTCCTATGCGTGTCTGTGAGGGAGGGGAGGGATGACGTGTGGGTGTCGTTCGTGTGTATACATGGACGTCGTGCGTGTAGATGCGTGCTCCGAGAATAGCAAACAACTCGAAGAGTACTTAATTATAAAACATCGCCGATGCGCCGCTCGCCGAGTCGTCGTCATCGTCCTTTGCCCCGTAAAACGGCTGCTTAAGACATCGGAGAGAGAAAGAGAGAGAGAGAAAGGGGGGGAGGGAGAGGACGGTTGTTTGAGGAAATATTTGCTTACGTTCAATATTTATTCGCGATCGCGACTTTTTAAATAGAATAACTTCCGCGCAATGTCCGACGTTACCTTACTCCGTGCGAAACGCGTCACGCACTCACCGCAACGACACCGAGCGATATCTCGCTGCGGCTTTCGAGGATTTCTTTTCAAATTTTTCTTAAAAATAAGACGCGAGAAACAGCATTACGGAAAGGAAACGTCGTGAGAGCTGATTTCAGAATCAATACCTTTCTCGGAGATTTTACATTTTAATGAGAGAAAAAGAATAGAGAATTGGAAGAAGAGATTCATGATTTATACATTTAAAAATTCATGAGAAATAATAGCCTAAACTTGGAGACATTATCTAATTAAATATTTAGTGAGAATCGCCTTATTAAACATGTGATCAAATGCAAATTTCCATTTTTATAAGAGATCGATTTGGAAATTTATTTACTTATTTATTCATTCAATTAACGGAAAAAAAGACCCTTTGGTGTTCAGATTTAAAGTCGGAGAAAATTATACAAGATTTACTTCCAACGTATAGGTCGAATTGCACATAAAAGAAATGTTTGAATTACTCAATTTGATGTGAAAGGGTACGAATCAAGGTTTAAAAGAATTCAAGGAGTTATTGAACAAATAAATAGACTTGCGGTAATAAAACCTGCCGTTTGTGCTTATTGCACAAACGTGTATCTTTCTTCTCCTCTTCCAAGAAAATTATGTAATTTATACTCGGCGCAAATTTCACAATATTAAAGCAAGAAATGAAGCTGACTTTAATTTTAATATACGTCAAACATTTCTGAAATCTCCTTGACACCCACAACCACAGGTCTGATCGGTCTTAAGGATTCGCTTTTAAGAATTTCGCGCTCTCCGCCCTCTCCCTTAAACAAAAGTCGAGCTCTCGTTAATTCCATCGCATTAATGGCATACCGAGGGCGGTCCCCTCTCGAACTCGGCGAGTTCCATCGGGAGATAACTTTCCCGGCGAACGACAAATTTAATTCGGCCGACAAGCGGCGTAAAAAGGGCAGCGCGAGGACTCGCTTAGAAATTATTTTTCCTCGCTCCAGTGAGAAATTCCCCCCGTAACGTAATTCGGCGCGTCCACGAAGAAATCTCCCGGACGGTTAATGTTCCGTCGCGGACGTTAAGTTTTCACAGGACGGACTTTTATCCGCGATGACAAACGGCGATAACACGCCCCTGATGTCCCGTTATATTGCGCCGGTCGGCACGTATGGTATGAGGTCGAATCCCGAGAGAAAAAGAAAACAAGGCAGGGAAGGGGAAGGAAGTGGGAGGGGAAAGAAAGAGAGATAGGGGGAGAGTGAGCTTCGGAAAAAGACGCAAGGAAGAACAGCGAGAACGTTGTCGCACGAAGAGCCTGATGGCCCTATTTACGCTCAGTAATTTTCATCTTCGTCAGCATCGCGATTACGTAACGCGTTCTGAAATCCTCTCAGTCGATATTGCCCTCGTATTTCTTGATCGTCGTTGATATCCGCCGTACCATCGAGGGACGAAATCAAACCATGAAACCCGGTTATAGAACTTGTAATAAGAAGTTACAGAGAAGAATAAGAAAATTTTCCCCGGAGAGAATTTTCTCTTTACATATATATATATATATTCCCGACGCGAATCACTTGTCACTTGTCATTCGGCTCTTTCGGCGTGGAGGAAGGAATGAAGGAAGAGAACGACGCTGGGCGGAGAGATAATAATAAAAATTCGCGACAACTCGATCTCACGTAGCGCGTAAATAGGCCTTACAACCGAGACGCTTCCTATGAACGAGCTCCGCGGAAATTGGCCGCTTCATTCATCGTGGGCGTGCACGGAGCCCGCCGGAAATTGCCCGCTGCCTCGTCGGAGATCTAAGAGCGCGAGCGGCAGAATTATTAATTTTCAATGCGACCTCCCGAGACCGTCTCGCTCGACTCTTTGCTCAGCCGACCGTAACAATTGCTCGAAGGAGTTGACTACTTTCATATTTAAAGCGCCCGCGAGCATCGTCATCTGCAGCGATCGCAGCCGAAGGAAAGTAACGTCAATAAGGATTTCATATTGCGTGTCGCGTCCCGGCGAAACGATGGCAACACCGCTGAACTTCTCTTTGTTCGCAGGTGACGTGGCTGCAGCACAGCAAAGACTCCTTTCGGCTGCTGACGGTCGGCAGGATACCGTACAGCGTCGACCAAAGGATCAGTCTCAATTTTCGGTAAGTCGCGATATATCTCCATCGTCCGTGTCCCGACTTTCTGGAGAAGTAAACGAGGCTAATCGTGGTCGAAATGCGCGGCGTACGCTCGCCGGTATTGATCTTTTGACACTTACTAAATATGTAAGTCATTAGATGTCGTTCCATTACACGTATCGTGTCCGGATATTCGCATATTTCGATTTATTTCCAATCACGACGCTGTTGATCAATTATATTTACGCGCAACAGCATCCTTTTTCTATGCCCAGCATCGTCGTTATTTCCAGAATAACAAAGATATTGTTGTTGTTCCCATTGTTATATTCAGACACGATGCATGCGAATGAAACCTCTAACGATCCCGCATCCACCAAGTGAGAAGAGAGATCAACGTCGGCGAATGTATGTCTTTTACCAGAACATCGGGCGGAATTACGGGGCGCGATCACGACGAGCGAAATTCAGCGGCGAAATTGCCCGGACGGCGTATTATCATAATTCGTTATCATCCGCAGCTGCGAGCTGCGTAATCTCATCGTTACCGCGTCGAATTATCGTCGCGGTCGATTTTTACGCGGCCCGGAATCAGGGCGAGACGTCGCCAGCCAACGAGGAGACGGACTTTTCTTTTCAGCCGGGGATTAAATCAGCCGTTTCGCGCGTCGTTTTACGTAGTAGGAATCCCGAATCGTCGCGGTAACGTGGTCTCGCGCCGCCGCCACCGTGACGACGACGACGACGGCGGCGTCACCCGTCGCCCAATGAAGCGTGGGGTGTATTATCGGGAACCTTCACTAACAAGAAGAAATAAAATTCAATTTTCCGTCGATTTTCCACCGTTCACTTCCCGGCTGCTTTATTGCAAATTCGCGCGTCTGTCTCGTTGGCGCCGGATAGGAAGAGGGGATGCTCTCTTTTCTCTTCTTTAGCGATCTCGTTTATCGACCTGACCGGAAGTCCCGACCATTGCCTATCGCTGATACATGTCTCGCGTGCCGCAGGTACCCCAGCAACTGGAGGCTGCAGATTCTGTACGCGAGCCCGCGCGACTCCGGCTTGTACAAATGCCAGGTCGCCACGCACCCGCCGCTGGTGAAAAAAATCAACGTCGTCGTAACGGGTAAGCGAGACGTTCGATCCGTTTCCACCGCATGGGATCTCGTTTTCGAGGCACAATATCATTCTCACATCTGTCTGACATTTCGAGCGCCGCATACCGAGATAGAGGTTATCCGAGTCGGAATTTTACCTCCGCATTAAGTCTACTTAGCTCTACACAGGATTGCCGCAGACCTGGCAAACCGGGAAAAATCACGGAAATTGAAAATGTCAGGGGAAACCTGGGAAGGATCAGGGAAATACATCGAAAACGTGGAATTTTGAATTTTGCTCACAGTTTCCTTAAATGCTCTCAACTGCATTATCTTTTCCAAAACTCACTTATTTTTCGCTGACCTCAACTTTGCATTCAGGATTATATTATGTTAGTAAACTTTTAACCCTTTGCACTCGAGGACTCCGGAGCGGAGCCATTTAAAATTTGTCTTCAAACTCTTCAAACTCAAATGCAAATAGGAAGAGCGGAATATCCTATACACAATAGTTTTTACGATTTGTCTTTGTCCTTATGTTATGAACTGAAAGTTATTCCCATTGTCTCCATAGCGGAGCCCTCGAGTTTGAAGACAAATTTTAAATGGCTCCGCTCCGGAGCCCTCGAGTGCAAAGGGTTAAGTTTGTGTTGCCTCTAATAATATGAGCTACCTTTCCTGCCATCTTTGCTTCTAAATTTTAAAGTTTAAGATTGCATGTTGCTCATGGAAAATTCTCCACTGTAGTTTGGAAAGCATGGAGAAGTCAGGCAGGCAATTTCAAAATTCATTTTCTTTGACAACCGTGTCAACATTAAATCTTCAAATGGAGAAAACGGACAATAACTTCCCATTTATAGCATCAAAGAAGCACAACAAAGATGTGCCTATGTTCTTTTAAAGACTTTTATCGTAGAACTAAAATTTTGACTCAGATAATTAACCTAACACTGTCCTAAGCACCGAGTATCGGTGATCCGTGAAAAAATACGTGCGTTTAGATCTCTTTCGTTTTTCTACAAATATTTTAACGAAACGAAATCGCCTAATCGGATTATCTTATAACTATGCGCGACCCGTTCGCTTTTGATTTCGACGACTACAATTTATATATATAGTTTCATTTTGTTGCGTATGTATTTTTCATTTGTATTTTTATTTCCTGCCCGAATATTCGTGTTGTATTTATGTTACCTGATCGGACACGGGACAGTTACACAACAGCCAATAAATCCGTTTGAAAAAATAAAGAGCGTTGGGGAGTTAGAGATGGAGCGTGTCGATCGTGCTTCCGACGTAATAAATAAATAATAATGTCGGGCGCGATAATTTGCGCTCGAAAATATGTCGTCTCGAACACGACGTTTCTCCCATTCATTTTACGCTCTCCTTTCCGCGAGAATTCATTTCCACTCTCGTCTCGTTGCGTCCACGCAAAATGCCTGAGCGGCGACTAGCCATAAAAAAAAAAAAAAACTGCTTCGCAATGCGTGGAGCCAATCTTAACCCTTTTCCCCTCTATTTTCCCTCGCTCGGTCGCCGAGCGGCGTCTGCCTGTCGGAGGTAACGTCGAATACAAATCCGATCCCTCGAATATAGCTGGCAAATGCAGTTCGCGCGCTTAAGAACAGCTACCACTTGGCGACTGGCTCGTTCACGAAAGAGCAAGAAATACAGATTTTATACGCGCGAACCCTTGCACTTAGCCGCTACCTGTTGGAATACCGGGCCTGAAATATTCATCGCTTCATCTACGGTATACAGTGAGCCCGGGCTTGTACAATCTTAATTAATCCGGGGTGGAGTCCGCGCGTAAAGCGTTTCGCGCCGGCGGACCGAAAAGTCTCGGCCGAGAAACAAGATGGATCGTAATGCAGGTGGGATCGTTTTCTACCATCCTCTCTCGCGGTCCTCTCGCGGGAGAATACCTATTCGTCGAGCGGAATCGGGTCGTGGCGAAACGAGCGAGAGGTCCGAGCGCCCAGACCGTGTGTTAACCAAGAAAAGGACGATCGGGAGTGAAGTTTCGCGCTGGGGCTGAAAGGAGCAGCGGAGGATGCGAGAACGGAGAAAGAGAACGAGGCGGAAGTCGGGAGAGGGGGAGGACGAGAGAGCCGAAAGCTGGTGCTGGGTACACGGGCGGAACGAAACCGGTATCGCAGCGCTCGTCGTTACCCCCAATCCCCTTACGTCGCCGATTCGGTGCAATGGAAACCCGCATTTGCTAGGATAAAGCGCCTCGTGGCCGGTAATCTGATCCGATCCTCGGACAATCGGCGAGCGCAGGCGAACAAAAGCCCGCCCTCTCTCGCGTCCCGCTGACGAGGAGGAAGTAGGGCAAGAACAAACCCGGATAGAGGCGTCGTCGTAGTCGTCCTGAGCTTCCTTCCTCCCATCTGCTCGTCTCTCCGCCTCGGTCGCACATCATCGTGATCGCGGATCGCGATCGTAAAGAGAGACGCATTTCGATGTCTCCTTGCCTGTCACAATCTCACCCTCTTTACGACTAAGGAGCGGTCACGACGGTTACGTAGACCGCATTGCGTAGGCAGTGCGTGCACGTGGAGACGAAATAACGCGCGCGGCAACGAGCGTGGCCGGCTGTTCTCTCGGAATAACAATGCGAGAGGAGAAAGCGGAGATGCCACGGAGACTCTCACAAGACTCACCGAGTGGATCAAGATGAGTCGCGCATCGCGGTCGAGACAGATTGTGTGTGTTTAGTGCGATAAAGAGTGACCCTCCTTCGTGTCCCGTCGTTTCATCGAGGATACTCGTTCCCGCGTCGATTTTAGTGCTCCCGAGTCGCCATGAGAGCAATGGACAATTCTCGTCTATAAAGTAGAAACGAAACGGCGCCGGGTTCCCTACCGATTATAACATTCCACCGGACTATCATCTTCTCTTAGTCTTCTCAGTCCGCCGCTAGTCTCTTTGTGTAATTCGACGCAGTGCGCGTCAAATGTATTTTTCTCATTTATTCAATAGCAACAAAGAGATTTCACAGCTACTATATATTCGTTCCTCCCTTCTCAACGTTTCATGGGTGGAGATGGGAGGGAGGAGCGGTGTAATTTCACATATGTAACGTAATATTGAAAACAGATTTAAATACTTCGTGACGAAATGTAACAAAGGGAGAGAAAAATACATTTAACGCATATCACGTCAAACAAAAAAGTTTCGTGCGCCGTAATTGTGAAATTGTTAAATAGCAGATTATCTTGAAGACGTCCAAGTTGTATCTTATATCTTTTATTTATCCCCGCGTGAAAAGAGATTGCTCTCCTTTTTCCGGCTGTATCGCGAATTACGCCCCACCCGGTGTACGTCGGGTCGCACAGCACTGTCGGGAAAGCCCCAAAAGTGAAAAGAGAATAACAAAATAAATTAAACGGAGGCGAACGAGACGGGGCCGTGCGTGTCGCGCAATCTGGCCGCGTTACGCGAGGTCGCAAAGCAATACGAACGGGCCGGAATAAACTTTCGGAAATCCGAATGCACGCCATGCAGCGCACCGTTTCATTATGTACCACGACGCGATCCGGCGCACACCCTCGTACGCCGCTTCCGCTTCGTGCACGGGGATGAAATTACTTTTCGCGACTCCCTTCGTCGCGCGCGCGCGCGCACGGTCCTTTTCCGCCCTTTCGCTACGATACACCGAAACTCGCCGACCTGTTTTGTCCATTTCCCCTTCGATCCTCGCGCGCGAGTCATCCCACCGTAACGAGCTCGACGTGAAGGAACAATCCGAGTCAGCGACAGACACGGGGCCGCGATTCGTTATATCGCGAAATTAAATACAGAACATGCCGTGGAAGCGGCGATTGTTGCGATTCTTCCTGAGAACGACGGTGGAGTTCCCGACGAGCGGTCAATGCGCGACGAATCGTCGAGATATACAGTGACTAAGCGCGAATTACGCTGCTAAAGGTACACAGTGAAATATTTGTCCGCGATGTGAATAATAAATCAGGAAAATACGTCTATGGGTGTTCGATTCTCCCGACCGCTAAAGGTCGCCAACTCGTGAGAGTTGAATGTCCGAGACGGAGTAAGAGAGAGAGAGAGATACACGTCTCACTCGTGCGCCAACACAGTGGAGATTTAATCCATTATATCCTAAAATTAAATAAAGGACCGTCGAGGACCAGACGATCGCACGAGAGTCTCGTGTTGGCGCAGATTATTCCCGACGTGCGTGCGTATTAAGGTATAGTGGCTTAAAATCAAATCGTATTGTTAAACGTATAACATCGGGTGTCTGTAAGTATGAAGAAGACAAAAAAGTTCACTTGCAGTATTATATGCATATAGTTACACAAATATACAGAGAGAGAGAGAGAGAGAAAGAGTAGTTTCATTTATATTCTTATAATACGCGCTGGTGCGATAGTAGATGTGAAGTGTGTGTTTCTACTGACGTCTCTAACGTCAATAAAACGTCATCAAGGCGTTATTCGACGTCACGTTTTTAGCTGGGTAGTGAAAAATTAAATTGAAACTAAGTTGATTATCCAACGTATATCGAGATTTTAGAAAACATGACAAAAATGTTTAGTTATAACGAATAGCAAAGTAATAATAATGGAGAATATGCTGTGGTTATTAATTCATAAATTATTGATCAATTATCACAATTTATTAATACGTTGACTGTTAATTTATATTACCGGCGATTGTCAAGCCATATAAAGCGAACATAAAGAAACATGAAAAGTAATCAAGTAACAATGACTCTGTTATCGTTTTACCAAAAAAGAACTTATTATGGAGGCTTGTTTCGAGGATAGATTAACAAGGAATATCGATAAAAGTATTACTCTAGGAATTAAAAGACCGGTTTTAGTGTGAAAGGTAATTCTCTGCATACGATTACCGATGAAAAAAAAAAAAAACAGACATACATTTAGAACACGACTATAAACAGGAATCTTTCCGCAAATAATATTAATATTAAAAATGTCACTAGAACATCCATATTTTTACCGGCTCGTACTAAGTTACACAGAAACATATTTTTAGT